TTTATCACCATTGCTGTTCCATTTTGCTTCAGAAGAAGCCATCAGGAAGATCCAAGAAAAAGAGTGGTTGGAAATGAACAGGACACATCATCTTCAGCTCTATGTTCATGATGATGTCAATTTACTGGATGAAAACACCAATATCATGAAGATTACAGGAAAAAATCATATAAAGACACATAATAAATTATCTGAAAATGCAGTAAAGGTAAAACATTTGGGAATAATATTGGGAAATTAAAATTGCATTCATAATACAAGAGCAGGTAAATATGGGAACGCTTGCTACTATGCTGTTCACAATCTTTTGTTTTCCCGCAATGTATAAACGTAAAGATTAAACTACACAAAACTATAACTTTACCTTTAATTTGTATGGGTTTGAAACCTGGTCTCCCACATTAAAGGGAAAACACATATTAAGGGGATTTGAGAAAATATTTTGACCCGAGAGAAGTGAAGTGATGAGGCTGGAGAAAACTGCGTAGTGAGGAGCTTCATAATTTGATTTATTCAACAGATATTATTAGGGTGATAAAATCAGGGAGGATGAGATGGGCAGGACGTATAGCAGACATGTGGGAGATAATGACATAATAAATGTGCACAGAATTCCAATTGTAAAGACTGAATGGAAGAGAGTACTTAAAAGACCTAGGCATAGATTGAATTAATCTAGTTCAGCTCTTGTGAACATGGTAATGAATATTTATTTGTGTTCCATAAAATTGTGAAATTTTATTGACTATCTGTGAGTGTAGTATCAGATTCTCAAGGAGGACTCTGTTCCATGGAGATAGTTATCCACAATAAACGTTCACACTGATGCCAGTCTGTTTGATTTAGTAGCAGTATCAAGCTCTTTCTTCCAGTCAACTTCTGCTCCTCTAACAAATCCATTCTTTTCAACAACTTCTAGCAATCTTAGAGTAGTACATTAGAGTTTCCAAGCACAGGATTTTTGTTAGAAAGTGAATTGCTTTCATTATGAAAATTTATAAACAAATTACTTACCAAATTATCAGAAATATATTCTTCCAATAGGTTCCTAAGTTTTTCACATCGTTTTCCAGAAATATAACTTATACAGTCAGCAAAAATGTGACTGCATACACCAGTTTGCTTAATATTATAAATATCAGTGGGCTGACCAGAATTTCAGTGTATACCTCCCATACCAAATTTAATCAAGAGTGATAAGTGGGTTGGGAGCTGAAACATGCAGAGAGATAAATCTTGTTCTGTATTTTGTCTATATAACTACCAACCAACTAGCTCCATGGAGCAGAGTCCTTTCTGAAAAGCCAATAATCATTCACATAGTCAAGGAATTACTCACATTTTAAGGAACCAATGGGTTCATTAATGTATTTAGGCATTAAAACAAAGACTGTAGAAATATGCCACAGATATTTCTAAAGCAAAGATCATAATTTTCACATAATGAAGGATAATTTCTCACTTTCCTTGGTTAACTGGCAGTCTATTTCACAGATAACCATTACAATCTAATACAAATAACAGACTGTCCTTAAAGCTAAGATCAAGAATATATTATGTAAATAAAGAATTTATAACAAATGCAACAGATGTTAGATCAGGAATATTTTTCTTCTTATTTACAATAAAATTCACCACACTACTGTTAGGAGAAAGTGAGAACATGTCTAGTGAACAGACTTTTAAATAAGAAACTGTGCTGCCAGCTATCAGTGAATAAGAGTTAGCTTCCTGTATGAGAAACAAAAGATTGTTGAAATTATAATAAGAACTGATGGCAGTTTATGCAAAACAATGTAATCACTTACACCTTCATAATAGTAACACTTCGTGAATCAACATCGAGATTAGAAGAAGGGTGCCTCTGGTACAGAAAATGTTACATGTCTGATAAAATTGCCTGATCATGACTTCATTGCAGCATTTATAACTTTTCAGATAAAATGTATTATGTTTTTCAAAGGGTAAATTCTTAGACTATCAGATATATGAAACAGCGTATCACCTCATTTCTGAGGTACATCAATTTATACCATAATTAGGAATCCTTTGTAAAATGCAGTACTGCAAATAGATTCACAAAGTTCTATGAAAACAATATTAACTATAAACATATATTTATTATATTATTATACATTTGTATGAAAATATGTATTTATGTGCATAAATAAATTGCTACATTTTGATTGTACATCAGTCAGTGCTACCAAGGTCTACAGAAAAGAGAAACAACACACATTAATGTAAAAATTTTCATAGTGGGACAATTCACTCTTTAATCAACCAAAGATGAGGATGATTCAATACAAAGGTAACAAGGCAATGTAAAACTATTGTAAAATCTACATATGATAGAAGATGGGATTGCGCCCACTACAAAACTATTTTGCAATTCAGTGTTATTTCTTTACCTGTATACCTTGATAAAATTTTAAAAAGCTGAATAAAAATGTATAAATTATAATTTTATTCTGTAATTTAAATGCAAATTTTATGTGTCATAACACACAAAAAAAGGTTCCTTCTTGTAATTTAAATGCAGATTTTATGCGTCATAACACACAAAAAAAGGTTCCTTCATGGAGTTACTGTGCAAGTACTCTACATGAGAGATAACTGCATGTCTAATGCCCTTGTACCAGCTCCACAGAACCATAAACATGTCAGAAGAAATTTTAAAGATGTTTAAATAAAATAATAGAATTAGTGGACTGCACCAAACAGGTGACCATGGAACGTCGTAAATCAGCAAGTGGTGACAGCCAGCCTGATAATATAATGACACTGGCTACAATTACTGTGTGACAGGGTGGAAGAAGTGACGATATTACAACAGGTCTGGATGTGGTGATGAATGGAAATATCCTCTACTAGTACTAAGAATCAAATTCTAGACCTCATACCGTAGACAGTCACTTTAATGGTTGAGATACTTCATGATCTTATACAGATTAAATAATAAGTGAGCTGGTGTTCCATGTGGCAGACAGCCACAGGGCACTTTTTACTTTAATAGTGTGTAATATAAGCTGTATCGGTTACAGCTACAGCTACAGCTAACCGACAACCTTAAACAAGGAAAGAAGATGACGTTCCAGGAATTGAAGCGAGAGGCCGAGAATAGGGACAACTGGAGAGCTCTTTTTGGGCAGAGCAATGGACCTGTCGTAGGACAGAACACTTAATAATAATAAATAATAATATAAGCTGAAGCCTAGGATTTCTAATCATTATAAGGATACAAATTTAAGTTGCTTTACCATTCTTACACTGTTAAAAGTAAGGACCACTCTGTTTCTAAGCACCATGCCAAGGAGGTAGAAGGATGTGGAAAAAAAGTGTAACACATTCAAGACCCGAAAATTAATCTGACCAAGGTATCTTAAGGAAAAGAACTCTTGACTCATGCTGAAAGGAGGCTACATGGGCTTAAGAGTCATTTGTGATATGCCGCTGAATACAGAAATTCCAATGCCCTCTGCTGGGAAACAATCACTAGCCATCCAATCTGACCCATCAATTTACTGGCTGAGCTATCGTGGTTCGAAGTAAAATAAAATATTTTAGATAACTGAAATTTGTATAATGAGATGTGTCAGAAAACTTTATCAAAATACTGGCCCATTTCATATTCAGTATTGGCCACAATTTAAATTTATTTCTCTCAGAGAAAATTACAACTATATTTGAAACAATGAGAGACAGCAAGCGACCAACAAATTGGATCCTTCCATGAGGTACCCTTCTGCTAATGTAATATTCAACACCTGTCTTATCTGTTTAGCAAACAAGTTAGAAAGAATTTGATTGTAAAAATACCAGCGTTACAAATTAAATTTACAGAAGAAGCCAACTGCAGATTTTCATATTATTCACAAACATATTTAGGAAAGCATTACTGAAAGAAATCAGTAGACAGAACAGATATGAAAATAATACCTTAATAAAATATATTATCTCATGGATCCACAGTGTTGCTAACAATGGATCAATGACATGGTAGCAAGACAGTACATAATTTCGTGGTATGATTTATACACTCATATCCTTTACACTCGATACTGGTTTTTCCACCATGTAGAAATGTGGCGGAAAATCAGTGGAAACATAATGAAATTCTAGTTGGCACAAAACTATGAAAAACATAGCAATTAAGATTCCTGACAGTAACACTCAATACCATGAAGAAAATCTATTAATTTGATAGGAAAAGTCATTTGGTATGCAAAAATTAAATTTTAAATTTTTTATAAAATTTGTCAAGTGAGCTGAAAGAGTATTCCACCACCTTTAGTTTAAGATACATTCCATATAATGTACTTACGTGTTCCAATGTAATATTTTAAGGAAGAAATGCATTTTCTTTGCTCTTTGTAACAGAACCATTAGTTAACACTGCTAACACCAACTCTACTACTGGACTCTATTCTGGACCACTTCACATTCTCAAACTATTGATGGTATACCATTCACCATACTTGACTCTGCAGGCTTTCATTTATGGATTGTAGTCTTCTGCAATATGACACTGTGTAGTCTTGTATGTGGTTACCAAGGTTTCATAAGAACTCATCATCTCTGTCTTCACAGTAATCCACTACAAGACTATGTAATCCTGAAGATGGAGGCAGTAAATTCCTCTGAAACGTTGGTAACCATCTACAAGATTGTATAGTGTCACAACCCAGAAGATAAACATCTTTGCGACCATGAGAACCCGAAATCTCACCATCAACATCTTCGTCGCTGTGAAATTTGTAATCTCAAATATTAATGAACTAAAATTAACAATATTACCGAAGGTAACACAGGTTTCATATCTGACATGCTGTGTCACGTGAAGTATGAGACTACTAAGTAATCACAAATAATATCTCTAAATGTTTCCAAAGTTGTGAAGTTACTTTGTGATCACATATTCTGTTCAACTGACATTAATGTGTCTTAAAATCTGTATTTAATGTGTAAAAGCAAT